AAGAAGAGAAACATAAATAAATAAGATAAGAACATAAATAAGATATAAGTTAACTAAGTAAAGAAAAAGAAATGAAAAGAATAAACAACAGATTAATGGAAGCAAAACTTAAGCTTTACAAAAATATATATAAAAAAAAAGAGCAAAAAAGTAATTTTGATCTGAAAACCAATAAATGCATAGCAAATGCCTCTTTTTTATAGGCTAAAATTTAAAACTATTGATTTGTTGACTAATTATTAAGTGGGTGGGTACATCTTGACCTGGTGACAATTTTTATCTTCTTGTTTGAACAAAACATCATTGCTAACATCAGAATTTGAACAGACTATCCCATGAAAGTTCTAAAAAATTATCTAAACTTTCTAACAAAAAACAAAACATAAGTCATTTGGACTTCTAAAACTCGAGATATGGGCTAAATATTGAATGGTGTCTCGGTTATGGGATAGATTTTGACTCGTTTGTTATCGCTGCAGTTTTCACTTGAAAACAGCCTTTTTGAATCTTGCATTCCTCATAAAAGTTTTAGGCTTATGTCTTAGCTTTCCATCCATATAGAACAGATCTAAATTCAAGTTCTATAACTCCAGATATGACTCAATGATTGAACAGTATTCTAGTTTAGATTGAACTAGCATATCTTTTCTAAGCTTAGCCTTCTCTTTATCTTCTCAATTTTAGTAGTTAAACTCATTAATCAATCCTTTCATTTATATGATAGCCCTGCATTTAAAATGAATATTTATCATAAATTAAAGGTATCTTATATTATTAGATATGTTATTATAATACGTGTTCTACTTAAGGAGTTATTGATACTTCAAGACCAAAATAAAGGTATAAAACCTTAATAAAAATACACTTTTATATACTATTCACACCTCCTAACCAACGTATTACTAGTCACTAGTAATTAAAATGTTAAAATAGGAAAACAATTTGTAAGTTCTGTAAAGTAAGGCATTCATCATTCAACTTTCATTAATCTATTCAAAATCTCATTAAATCTATATATTTGCTCAATACCTCTTAAATAAGATATTAATAAATATTTTTTTGTGCTCAATATATCAACACATAGTTACAGAGCTTTACTTGGATAAAAATAGAATTTTGTTCTAATGTTTTAACTTCCTTGGGTTGGAATTATTATCTTTTTTTTTAATATATATACATATACCATAATGCATCTTTAATCCATATCACGAGCTTTTGGCTAATGACTCCCAAACTAGTTAGTCTTAAGGTATTAGGTAGTGAGACACCCCTTCGAGTTTAATAACTCGGGTTGTAAATATTGATATATTGATAGTGCAATGTTTGATTCCCTTAAGCTTTTCTCCTCAACCCATGTAACAAGGGTTGAGCCAATAGCTCCTAAGTCAGTTGACTTTAGGATATTAAGTGTTAAAACACCTATTCGAGCTTAATTATTTAGGTTATGGAGGCTACGAAACCAAACTTATCTATGTTTTTATTATCATCAATTTATTTATTTTGCAAATTATATACTATCTATTTCCCTTAGTTGTTACCTTTAACAAAAGAACATAAATAATATAATAATCTAATCTGCAACCCACAATCATATATTAAAATGTGTGTGTGAAAATGAAGGTTTAAGAATACTTCTTAAATGAATATATAATCAGAATTAAATGATAACAATGCGAGAGTTTATAAACCTGAATATTTCAAAAAGTATTCTAATAGACCTTATTAAGAATGTTTAGTAAAATGTATCTTAAAAGTCACTTTAACAAAATAACCCATTTACTCTGTCATCCTAGTAATAACAGTTTTGCAAATAATGTATAAAATAGAAACTATAGTTAGTTAATTTTTTTTATATCAATTACTACCCTCTTCCCCTAACTAAAATGAGACATTGTCCTAAGGTAGAAAGATAAAATATAGAAGACATCAACTAAAATACCGAATATTGACAAACCTGAAACATACTTAAACAAATATTAGAAATAAAAAACAAAATAATATACTATTAATAAAACCAAAAGACACAAGGATTCATAAATAAAGGCTTAAATCTAATCTAAGCTTTTTACGACTTTTCTTTATTGATCAATTTATGCAACTCATGGAGGAATCAATTACAAGAATGAAAGATTGTAGTTGGTCAATCAATTGTTCAGCAATAATAGCAGAGATTATGTTTTGTCGTGCTGAAAATGTTAGAAATTTTTGTTCCACAGAATGATAAAGAAAAGACAATAACTTATTATAAAAACTATTAACATTTAACAAACCTATAAGTTTATGGTGAATATGTAGTTGGGCCTAAAAGAAAATTTAAAAGATCTCTTCCAGTATACCCAGACCACCTGGTAAGAAAAAGAAGACATTAGCATATTTAAATATTGCATTCATTCGATCACACATTGTGGAGGCCTGTAGTTCCTCTCTAATTATTTTTTCAATGATGTCCCCTTTTGCTAAAGCTTTGGGGACGACCCCCAAAACTTGACTACCTCCTAAAAATATACCTATGGACACTTCCCCCATTAACCCAAGGCTACCTTCCCCATACACTAAATAAATCTTTCTCTCAACTAGTACCTGACCAAGATGATTTGTTGATTCTAAAAACTCCATTTCCTTCCCAGGATTGGATCCACCAAAAACATAAATATTTCTTATATGATGACTTGAGGAACCTTCCATTTCCATACACTTCTATAACTGTTGAATGTATGTGTTAAGCAGAAATAAAGGGAAGAAAGAGAAGATTCTATAGATGAGAAATTCAAAATGCAATCATATCACTTATATGTAGGACAATAGGAGTCTCATACTGTCTTTCTTTATTATTTTTTATTCTTTTTTTAAAGCATGTGTATATACGGATATTTGTGATTGTGGCTCATATCTTCTCTTGGTTTTACATAAAAGAATGGCTTAAACGCCCTTTATGGGTCGGGGATAAGCTTCATATCCAGTTTTCTTAAAAACTAGCAAACATGGTCTTTTATAATCAGATTCTCAAGACTATGCCAACCATGTTCTTTATAAAAATGAGGTCATAAGTCATGAAATACATAATGCACATCGCCACTAGGATATGTCCCAAAAGTCAATAGAAGATTATCTAAAGACTCTTTATGTTTTGAAATAAATCCTAACTTTTGACATTTTTCACAAGATTTGCAGAACATACATGTGTCTTTGAACATGGTGGGCCAATAAAATTCACAATGTAAGATTTTTACAATTGTTTTTTTATGAAAAATAACCCCCATATGCTTTAGAATAACAAAATTTAATGACACTACTTACATCATTATCAGGAATGTATCTTTGAAATATTTGATCAGGATAATATTTGAATAAGGTTCATCCCAATAAAAGTTTTTCACTTCGTTTAAAAACTTTCCTTTGTTTTCGGTACTCTAGTAAACTAGCAAAAATATTGAAGTAAGAAAACTGATAGTTTTAGCAAACCAAGGCATTGAACTAAGAGAAAGTAAAGATTTATCAGGAAAGTAATCATTGACTGATGTGATGTCGGATGTTGAATCTATTGTCAATCTTGACAAAAGATTCATATCAACATTTCCAGTGCCTTTCTTGTCCTCGATTTCATCTTGAGAATAAATCATTTGCAAATCTATATATTCGTCTAACTTTGTTTTACTTAAAATAGATTCAAGTTGGTCATAAACCAATTCTTTAATAAAATCTACTTTTTGTAAATCATTATCATCTCCAGGTTGCTTGCAAATATTGAAAACATTGATCTCTAATGTCATGTTTCTAAAAGATAGCTTCATTGCTAACATTAGAATTTCAACAAACTTAATTCATGAAAATTCTAGGAAAATGTCTCAGCTTTCCAAAAAATAAGGTTATGTAGACTTCTAGAATTCAAAATATGGACTAAACATTTAACAGTGTCCGGGCTGCAGGACAGATTCAAGCTTCTTCGTTGTTGCTAAGATTTTGGACTTCCAAATAGTAAAATTGAGTCTTGCATTTCTCATGAATGTTTTAGGCCTATGTCTTAGCTTTCTAGCCATATAAACCAAATTGAAATCCAAGATCTACAACTCCAGATGTGACCTAATGACTGAATAGTGTTTTAATTTGGACTGAACCACCATCTATTTTCTAAGCTTCACCTTTTCTGTCTTTTCAATTTCAGTAGTTAAACTCATCAATTAATCATTTGATTTATAAGATAGGCCTGTATTTAAGATGAATATTTACCATAAATTAAAGATATTTTATAGTATCAAACTTGTTATTGTAAAACATATTTTAGTTAAGGAGTTATTGATACTTTAAGTGCAAAATACTGATATAAAATCTTGATAAAAATAAATTTTTAAGTGTTAATTTACTTACTATAATTGCATATTATGGTTATGAGATTCTGAAAAATAAATATCAAAATTGACATTGGTGAATAGGAATCTTCACGAAGATATGTACATGGACACTTCTAAAGGATGTTACCATAAGGGGAAAAAAACAGATATACTAGATTTCTTTTATTTTTTCCATTAATAGAAAGGTTCTCTAGCAAATTAAATTAAAATTTGCTTAATTGTTGAGCTTGTTATTTAATTCAGTAGTATAATTCGGGGAAAAGCTTAAGGATAGCATTTAATTTGTCTCTTGGCTAATTATAGAAATAGAAACCTAGCTAAACTAACGCTAATTATAGAACAGAACCACTGCAACCTAACTACGTACAGACCAAACACAATATCTAATGCAGTTAAACCTCCTACGTACTGTTAGCTTTTAACACTACAATTCTGTTTTGTTAGAAAAAACATGTAAAAATCTATCGATTCAGTTAAATGTCCAACAAGCTTGGGTATAAAGTAAGATAGCTTCTCACAATTACAACATCTGACAACAACCATCATTAATCATCAAATCGAAGCCTTTTATAGATTTTGTTGATAGAGAGAAAGAAATACAAATCATATAGCTTGAATTGGATAGATCATGGCAATGGCCATATTATTTACATGGAAATCCCGGCAAATGCCTCACTTATTTTGTGCATTATAGCGGCCTCCTTTGTTTCAAAGGTTCTGGGGCACCATGGACGTGCCGACAGGAATGATCCCAATGAGAAGGTGTTTAACGTGTTACGTTATGGAGCACATCGTGGAAGAGAGGATAACGCGCCGGTAAGCTGGTTTAGTATTTTGGATCGTAAGTGTTCATGGCATTAATAGTATATTAGAGGCATGTATTTAATTATCTGTTAAAAGAAATCCACATTTGATTTGTGGGGGGGGGGGGCGTATAGTATATTAGAGGCGTATATATCTGAATTTGCCCTTGATTTTCTCGTAAAGAAATTATGGTGAAATTGATTAGGTTGTGGGTTTGGTCTTCGCAGTCTTTCATCCGAGCATGGAAGGCTGCATGCAATTATAGGGGAAAGGCAAGGCTACTTTTCCCCAAGGGAACCTTCTTGATAGGGGCAACTATCTTTCAGGGACCATGCCAAGGTCCAGCACCCATTAAGGTTCAAATTGCAGGAACTCTGAAAGCTGTACCAGACCCTAGCACGTACGAAGAAGATTTCTGGATCTTGTTTGAAAACATCAATGGCTTGCTGGTTACTGGTACAGGCACTGTTGATGGCCAAGGCAATGCTGTCTGGAAATACGATGTCGGCGACGGCGGTGCCAAGTTCCCTAGTGTAAGTAACAAAATGATATTGACATACATGCACTTACTAATTAGTAATTAGAGAATATGGGATTAATTGCAATTTCATAATGATTCATCTTTCCTTTTTTATTTAATTATTTGTGGCGCAGTCTATAAAACTTAACCATGTAGTCAATGGGATTATAAGACAGATCACCTCTATGAATCCAATGGGTTTCCGCATATCCATCGTCCTGTCACAGAACACCAAGGCCAAAAATCTTGCTATATTTGTGGAATGGTCTTGGTAATTAAGGGAAAAATGCTAGAAATTCTTATTATAGCTTTTCTTGAACCTGAGCCTTACAGGTAAAAAAAGCTGGGGAAATTAAAATAGCTACTAAAAGAAAATATTTTAAAGAACTTGAATTGAAAGAACGATGCAATAATGATAAACCCTAATCTAAATTTTTAGACAGCTTTGAGATAGCCCAGGCCTCTTAGGTGAATGAAATTTGCTTCAAAGCAATTTTCTTCCTATCTGCAGCCTCTTCCTCCTTTTTTTATTGTAATTCTCAGTTAGTTGAGAATTAAGAATAAAAATAGACACAGCTGTTTTATTTATCTGTTTTGTATTTGGACTCTTTTTCTTCTTCGAAATGGTGTCGTTTGCCTTTGAATTTACTCCCTTGCCAGCTGTCAGCCACAGGAGCTTCATCATCTCAGCCCTCCATATAAGTAATTCTTGTCCAATCTTTGACCATACACGTGCTCACCTTCTCCCTTTGCTGCAAGTAAGTATTCTCCAACATGCCTCCTTTTTTTCTCCCCGGCTTTAGTTTGAGAATGGTTTGTGCTATGCTGCCAGACTGTTACAACTCCCTCCCCCTTAAAAACCTTGCCCTCAAGGTGAGGGTAAGAACCTTTTAACCAATCTTCTTCAACCCACACGACATCTTCTTCAGGTTGTCCTTCCCATCTTAACAGCACTTCTTCCGTCGTCTTCCTCCTTGAGATTTGACTTCTTCGCTCCACTATCTCTACCGATTGTCGTTGTGAATTCATCTTAGGTTCGAGAGTGGGTAGCTTCGGCTCAGGAATGTTCCTTTCCCAACCCATTTCTTCAGTAGCGAGATGTGGAACGTGCTATGGATTTGGGCTTCCTTGGGAAGATCTAACTGGTAAGCCACTTCTCCCACTTTTTTTTAAGATTTTAAATGACCCGAAGTATTTATATGTTAACTTCTCATTTTTATTTCTTGGCATGCTGGACTGTCTGAATGGTTGGAGTCGAAGGTAAACCCATTCCCCTTCTTTGAACTAGGTCTCTTTTCTGACTTTATCTGCTTGTTTCTATTGTCTCTCCTGAGCTTGAGTTAAGTTGTGTTTAATTTCTGCAATCTGTTCTATCCTGTGTTGTAATTGTTCCTCTACTACTTGATTTTTTATTGACCCAGGAATATAATATGTGAGGCTTGGGGGCGGGTAGCCGTAGGTTACTTCAAACGAGGTAGATTTGAGGGATGTGTGGTAGCTGGTATTGTAACAATATTCGGCCATTGTTAGCCAATTAGACTAGCCCTTCGGGTTATCACCTACATGGCATCTCAAATACCCTTCCAATGTTTTGTTGGTTGCCTTTGTCTGACCGTCGGTTTGGGGGTGGTATGTTGTTGACATCAGCAGCTTAACCCCTTCAATTTGGAATAACTCTCCCCAAAAATTGCTAGTAAAGGTAGGATCTCTGTCTGATACTATATTGTCTGGGAAACCATACAGTTTCATTACATTCTGTGAGAACAGATTGGCAATTTTTGATGCGTTGTAGGGGTAGGATATAGGAATAAAATGTACATATTTGGTAAACCTATCCACAACTACCATAATTACTGAGTATTGATTAGATTTTGGTAACCCCTCTATAAAATCCATAGATATGGATGACCATGGTCTGGTGGGTATAGGTAAAGGCTATAAGAGTCCTGAGGGTTTTGTGTTTTCTCCTTTTGCTCTCTAACAGACTTCACACTATTTGATATAGGTTTGTATATCTGATTTCATTCCTACCCAAAACAAATCTCTCCTGGCCCTTTTTAGTGTTCTCTTAAAGCCCGTGTGTCTCGAGGATGGGCTATCATGAATATAATTCAGGATGGTTGTTTTTATAGGGCTGGATTGACTTATGTAGACTCTTTGTTTGTAGTATGGTATCTCTCCCCTAAAATGATATTTCAAGGAGCTTATGGTTTCTTGGTCTAGTTATTGCATGATAGCTTGAATTTCCGAATCAGTTTTATAGCTATCTTTTAATTGATCAGCCCAGTTAACAATTGGGGTAGAAATAGCCCATAATGTACCTTTTTCTGTGGTGTCCTCCTATCTAAAGAGTGCATCAGCTACTAGGTTCTCCTTTCCTGCTTGAAACTTGACCACAAAGTCATATCCAATCAATTTAGATAACCATTTCTGTTGTGTAGGTGTTCCAACTCGCTGCTCCAATAAATACTTAAGGCTTTGTTGATCCATCTTAACCTTAAAGGCTTAGCCCAAAAGGTAAGGCCTCCACTTCTGAACAGTAGTGACTAATACTAGGAATTCCTTCTCATAAGTGGATAGTGATAGTTCCCTCCCCTTTAGACTCTTACTGAAATAAGAAATGGGTCTGCCTCCTTGCATTAACATAGCACCGAGTTCTATACCTAAGGCATCATACTCTATTATAAAACTTTGGTTGAAATCTAGTAGTGCTAGGACTGGGGGTTGATACGGCCTGTTTTAATTGTTCAAAGGCTTGTTCTGCTTACGAATCCCATTTGAAAGCCCTTTTTTTCAATAGTCCAGTTAATGGACCAGCAATCACCTTATAACCTCGGATGAATCTGTGGTAGTAGATTATTAACTCTAAAAAACCCCTTAGTGATTTGAGTGTGTTTGGTCTAGGCCACTTGATCATTGACTCCATTTTGCTGGGGTCAACATGCACTCCCTGACCTGATACAATATGCCCCAAATATTCAATTTCACTGCTTATAAATTTACATTTGGACTATTTGGAAAATAACTTATGTTGTACCAGAGTCCCAAATACCATCCTTAGATGTCTCTAATGCTCTTCCATATTATAACTGTAGACTGGAATGTCGTCGAAGAAAACCAGTATAAATTTTCTAAGATAAAGTTGAAAAATATCATTCATCAAACCTTGAAAAGTGGAAGGGGCATTTGTGAGGCCGAAAGGCATCACCAAAAATTCATAGTGCCCTTCATGAGTCCTAAAAGCTGTTTTGGGGACATCTTTTTCCTTCATTTTGATCTGGTGAAAGCTTGACCGAAGGTCTAGCTTGGAAAAAATCTGAGAACCATGAAGCTCATCTAGTAGTTCTTCCACAACTGGTATGGGAAACTTGTCTTTCACAGTTTCCTTGTTAAGGGTATGATAGTCAACACATATTCTTCATGACCCATCATCCTTCCTAACTAGGAGGATTGGCGATGAAAAGGGGCTTTGGCTGGGTCTTATGGTACCCATTGCTAACAATTCTTGAATAAGCTTTTTTATCTGAGCAGCTTCCCTCACTCCATAGCTGGAAACCATCTGCAATATTCACCCCAATAGGCTTGTGTTTTAAAACTTTCATCCCTACCTTTCTTACTACCCTGGGATGTATGAAATTATGTGTACTTCCTGTATCAATTAAGGCCACGAAGTTATGGCCACTCAGCTTCACTTCCACCCTTATAATTTTAGGATTGGGACTCCCTATGATTGCATAAAGGGATATGTTGATTCTCTCCTTACCTTTTTCCTAAGGTTCCCCCAAATCAATCAGATCTTTAGGGACACAATTTTTCTCCTCCACCTCTTCCTTTACTTCCTGTATCAAGGATATCCTTAGTCCTCCACACCTATGGTCAGGTCCCTATTTCCTGTCATATTTAAAGCAAAGCCCCTTGTCTCTTTTTTCCTTCATCTGTGCTGGAGTGAGTCTCTGTATCAGAACTAGTTTATTTTCAACCTTGGGCTGAGTTGGTGTTAGGTTTTGGCCTTGAAACCCCATAACACTAGGCCTCCAGGACTTCCTTATAATTGTCAGATTTTCCTCCTACATCCTTGCTAGTCTATAAGCATCCACTAAATTATGAGGGCTCAGCATTCTGACTCCTATTTTTATCTCCTCCTTCAATCCTCCTATGAAATAGTTGAGCTTGTAAGAGTCAGACAGCCCTCTAACTCGATTCGAAAGCATCTCGAATTGGGTTTTGTAGAGCTCTACTGTTGATGTTTGTTTGATACTTATGAGTGCTTTCATTAGGTCATCATAAGATGATCATCTGAAACAAATTTGGAGGGCCTCCTAACTGGTGAGAATTCTGGTCTCTTTTAGTTCTTGATAACATATTATGGCCTTTCCTTCCATGTGAAAACTGGCTGTAAACAGACTGTGTTGAGCTAGAGTGTTGTGAAAGTTAAAGAATTGATTGGCCTTGTATACCCAACCAATAAAGTCATCTCTATTAAACTGGGGAAACTCTAACCGGATTGACTTGAGCTGAACCTGTTGAATTCTTTCCTATGGTACTACCTCATGCCTTAGATTTTTATTAACTGACCTGGTGGGAGAATTAGGAGGGGAGCCCATGGGCCTTTTTCCTTGGGCCTTAGTCATCTGATCCATCATGGCAAACATATTTCTCAACTGTTGCACTATGTCTTCCAATTTTTACCATTGATTCTGCTGGTTTTGTTGCTGTGTCTCCTGTTGTTGTTTCATCCTGATACAGTTTCTATCAATTGTGAAACTCTTGTTCCTTCAGCCATCCGAGAATCATGGCTTTGATACCACTTGGAATGGTCTTGGTAATTAAAGGAAAAATGCTAGAAATTCTTATTATAGCTTTTCTTGGACCTAAGCCTTACAAGTAAAAAAAAAGTTGGGGAAATTGAAATAACAACTGAAAGGAAATATTTTAAAGAACTCGAATTGAAAGAACGATGCAATAATGATAAACCCTAATCTAAATTTCTGGACAGCTTCAAGGTAGCTCAGGCCTCTGGGTGAATAAGATTTGCTTCAAAGCAATTTTTTTCCTATCTGTAGCCCCTTCCTCCTTTTTTTATTGTAATTCTCGGTTAGTTGAGAATTAAGAATAAAGATAGACTTGACAACTATTTTATTTATCTGTTTTGTATTTGGATTTTTTTTCTTCTTCCAAACAGTGTCGTTTGCCTTTGAACTTACTCCCTTGCCAGCTATTAGCAGCTAGAACTTCATTGTCTCAGCCCTCCACATAAGTAATTCTTGTCTTGTCCAATCTTTGACCATACACATGCTCATGTTATCCCTTTGCTACAGGTAAGTCTTCTCCAACACACCTCCTTTTCTCCCCGGCTTCAGTTTGAGAATGGTTAGTGATGTGCTGCCGGACTGTTACAATTTGCCCCTCTCGACAGCCCCAACACTCACGGAATACATATCAGCAAAACCAATCAAGTGTATGTATCAAGTAGTGTCATCGGCACTGGTGATGGTTGCATTGGCATCATACGTGGATGCACCGATGTCCACATCAGAAATGTAATCTGTGGCCCTGGACATGGTATCAGGTAACTAATTAGTATTCAAGTATTGAATGTTCCAGCAGCATATATATACACACGCGCACGCACGCACGCACTCACTCAATTGAAGTCAGTAATTATGCATTTGTAATTAACTAGTATAGCAGCCTGCAGCTAATTACTTTGTAATTTACATTTCCATATATAACAGTATTGGTAGCCTTGGAAATTACCAGGATAAGGATGATGTGGGAGGGATCACTGTGAAAAACTGCACATGTAATAAAACGGACGATGGAATCAGAATAAAAACATATGGAATATCACCTCCAAGCCAAGCTTCAGGCATACCTTTCCAGGATATCGTCATGGACAGAGTTAAAAACCCCATTATTATTGATCAATCTTATGGAAACAAAGAATCGGTTCGTTTTCTTTTACTATGATATCAAGCCCTTTAACAAGCTGCTTTCCTCCTTGGATCACGAGTTGGAGTAGAATATATCAGTTTTATCAGAGCTTGCCTTCTTTAATTCTCTTTGCAGGCATCGAGGGTAAAGCTCAGTGATGTTCGATACCAGAACGTTAGAGGAACATCCACGTCAGTTGTTGGTGTAAACATCAAGTGCAGCCATCCTGTTCCCTGTGAAAGAGTTAGCTTGTCAAACATAAATTTAAACTACGTTGGAGCAAAACAGCATAATCATGAAATCAGCTCTGTATGCACCAACGCAAAATTAAATTTTGCTGGCTTCCAACAACCATCACCTTGCCGATAGTTGAAAATCTCTACCTGTTTACGATCGAGGAGATGGACCCTTTTTCTGCTTTCATTAATTAGTGTAAATTAAAGTTTGTAAAAATATATCAGAAAAGCTAACAAGGATATCATTTTAAATCCATGTTAAACAAAAAATATCCATGGATAGCATAGAATTTATACCTATTTAAAACTATACGCATGTAAAGGTATAATTAACGCCCAATATGTTTTTAACACTGAAAAAAAAAACCTTTAACATGCATATTAAATATATAAACAAACTTGCAATTGATATTGTTGTTCAATGTTTATAATATGCCTCTCGAAATTAATAGGATTTACTTTAAAATAATGAGCCTTTTGTTGTTATTGTCAATGATGAATTCTTTATCATTAAAACTTTATTGTTACTCACTTATGCAATTAGGATATTTGCAATATATCTCTTTAAATTCCAACACACTAAAAATGAGATGAGGAAGAGTATGTAAACCCCCCTTTTTAGAGTTAATTTTAGAAGTTAAAATATTAGAGAATTAATAAGAATTAACTCTTATCATTATCAATATTTGATTAGCCATCATAAATTTAGAATTAAATCTAGAAAAATCAAGGGCTCTTTAAGATTAATTTTTTATTCACTCATATTTTTTTAAAAATCATATTAATTAAAATAAATTTCTAACAATCCCCCACATTAATGGAAATTGTCTCGCCAGTTTGAAAATGATTTAAAAATTTATTGAAAGATACTAATTTGATATATTACTAGACTAGGATAGGTAGTTTTTTATTTTGAACCTCTCATAATGAAATATTATTGAATTTACTCGGCTAAATAGTGAACGCACGATGTCTTGAACTATTTAGCCTTTTATGTAAAGCAAATACAATAATACTCATATAATTTTTTACATAGAGATTTCCTTTAGTTATCATTGTTATATTTATTTTGGCCCTATACAACTCTTGGATCCATGAGTGTTTTAGAGAATTCATCATTTATCAAAATTCTCAAAGAAACGACCACATTTCTCACTTATATAAGAGATTTTTCATTAAAATTATTCTGTTATAATCCATTTGGTATACCAAGATATGAAAATCATTAAGATTTCAACTCACTTTTTATCATGATATAGCTAACACTTATTTCATCATAGAAATAAGTAGGAAATAATAATTTTCGAGTATCGAGAATGTTATATGACATGATCAAAGAGTTGATGTCTTCTTTCAAATGTAGGAGTGTCAAAGTAATAAATAATCTGGTAAGACCGAGGTCAAACCATAGGGAAGTTAACTGTATAAACTACAAATAAAGAAATAGATAATAACAGAAAAGGAGTTAAAAATAGCTTTGAGATATGATATTGATGTAAGGATTTAAACAAATATAAAAAGTTATCTAGGTTAGCTAATCCACTAATGTTATTTCAAATAAGTATAATATAAACTCTTTTTATTATTCAATTAGAAATCACACACAAAAGAAGTTCCAATCGGATTATAATTTATTAACATAATTATATTAATTATCTTATTTGAGTAATGTCAATATTTGTAAATGTTGTTAGGTATTCATGGTAATAAATTATGTTAACAACAAATTAAGTTCCTTTCATAACACAGGTATCGATTATACCATATAATTGGGCTATGAAAGTACCAAGTATTTGTTGTACCAAAGGTTGTTCAACACAAATCTATATTAACCATTTAACAAGCAAGGTATTAAGAGTGAGTAAGATAATAAATACAAAACATGTTAGTATTAAACATTACAATCCATGTTTAGTTTATACTATATTTATTCTTACACTATTAGTGTAACCTTTTCACTTTAACATAATAAACTTAGCTAAACATTATAAATAGGAGAAACATAGATAAACAAGAGGAGAACATGATTGTATAAGTATAGTAGAGGAAATGAAAGGCATAAACAAGAAATTAATGAAAACAAAACTTAAGCATTATAAAAATATAAAGAGACAAAGAGAGCAAGAAAATGATCTTGATTTGAAAATCAAGATGCCTAAATGCATGACAAGTGCCTTCTTTTATAGACCAAAATTGAGAACTATTGATTTATTGACTAATTGTTGAATGGGTGGCTATACATTGACTTAGCGACAATCCTTATATTCTTTTCTAAACAAAAAATCATTACTAATATCAGAATTTGAATAGACTTGATTCATGAAAGTTTTAGAAAATTGTCTCAACTTTCTAACAAAAAACAATTGAGGTCATTTGGTGTTGCAATGTCGCGGTTGCACAAATTAATTACCCTAACTTAAAACACAACACACAAGATAATATAAAGCAAGCAAGGGGTCGATCCCAAGAAGAAGGTTCAAGTCAGATTTTTATGCTAGATGTTATACAACTTATGGGGGTTTTGGACGCTATCTAGGCTAAAGCAAAAGAAATTAGAAAACTATCAAACAAAATTAAATAAAATCAGAAAATTATCAAGAGAATAAACCTTAGTCGCAAGCACACATCCACCTACAGAAATCAGAACTAATCATGGAAACAAAACATCAATTTATTTTCTGAATATTTATCTCTTCTTAACATTAGTTAGTTAATGGATCCGCCGTATAACTAACCCTAACCACCAAACAACCACAGTATCCGCACTAATAATTTAATTCAATGGCAGCTTTAACAACTTCATAAGTTGATTAATCAAGAAAATATAAATGTTCACAGTCTATGTTTAATTTGATTGAATGTTCTCTCTCATATTAATAGCTAGATCCATCAGAATTATTAAACTCAGTAGCTTCACAAGTTCATATACCACAACTCCGGTTTTGATATCAAACTTAGCAATAGATTGTCTACAATAATAACTTAGAGTCCGCTCTAACAATTAAAATAAACAATCATAGAAAAAATAAGTATAGGTGAACCCACATATTCATCATATAAACTGAAAAGAAAAGATAAAATAAGTCTCATGGCTATTGAACTCTGAAGGTTTTCGTGTCCTTGCAACCTAGAAAAAGTGTTTAGCCTTACATGTTTATTAAACAACTAATCAAAAAGAAGGAATAATGCATAATTTTTAGTTTCTTAGAGGAAGGGGCATTTTTTCTCTTCTTGGGTGGCTGCCCCCCTTCTCTTCTCTCATTCTTTTTATATCCTAGGAAACCCTAGTCTCTATTTTACAAAATAATCCTCTCTTAAATAGACAGTTTACATTTAAGTACTTCAATAACTATTCTCCTAAAAAAGAAGAAATAGCCTTGCATAAGATCTTAAAGCTTTGACTTAGACGAGCTAAATTGCTGAACTAAAAACATGGATTTGATTTAGATACTTCGAAATGAAATTTGGACTCGTTTCTTCACGAAACCTGTTTTTTGGCAGAATTCAGTTGTCATTTTTAAAAAATTATATCTCCCTCATATGACATCATTGTTGGCTGAAACTTTGAGCATTTATACACCTTTGAGTCAGAAATCCAAAAAAATTAAGTTTGTATCAATTGGACTTTTACAGCTCCAGATATTCAAGTCTGAATGGTCGAAGGTCAATACTAGCAAATTGCAAGATTTGACTTTGAAAGCTGCAATTTCCATGCTCTTTCTTATTTTACTTTCTTGCCTTAGATGTCTTGAAAGGTATGAATGTCAACTTTTTAATTACATTGAAATCACTTCATTTTAACCTCTAGAACTCACGCTCTGCAAAAAAAATCGATTGAAGGTCAAATCTGCCAATTACCTCAAATTTACTCATTTTTGCGTCTTTCATCCAAAAATACCTTCAAAACATGCAACAAAGAATATCAAGGCATTTTATATAAAACATAGGCAAAACACTACTTAAATATGGGTGAAACTATCGTATAATATCGTTACATCAAATACCCCCACACTTAGCTCTTTCTCATCCTCGAGAAAGGATAGGTAAAATCAAATTGAAGTTAAATTAAATCAAATCACTATGATTAATCTCCTAATCTCCCATCAATATCCAAGAATATATGCATTACAAATAAGAACACAATTAAGAAGGATAAATAATATAAATTTTCATGAGTTTATTTACATGCAAACTTTAAACTCAATTAATCATTGGGATTTAAATGAAATCTATGTCATGCCAAAGTGATAGGTCTTCTCATTGATACACACTCTAACACTCACATGTTTAAGGCTTATGTGTTTAAATCTCTCAAATTCAATCAATAAATATGTTCTACCATAAGCTTGCTCTTCAATCTCATCTTTATTACTAACATATTACAACTAATACATGAATCAAAAAGTCTTATTTTCCTGTTGTAATGGAGCTAAGGTTAAGGTGAGGTAAAAGAGAGTAAAAGAAAAGGTTATAACCAAAGAAAATAAAGCATTCTAAAAAATGATGTTTCAAACAATATATTACATCAAAGCACATAAAGTTTTCATCTTTAATCACTAATGCTTAACTTCTTTTGATTTCAAGCTTTTTCAACAAAAAATCTTAAGAACATTAAGGAACTTCTTTTTTCTTTTTTTTTCTTTTTTTTCTTTTTTCTTTTTCCCTTTTCCTTTTCTTTTCCTTTTTCTTTTTTGCAATTTTGCCCAGCTTTTCATTAAGCATCACTTCTTCTTTTTTTTCACATAATTTCTAACCATAATTCCATGAAATATCACAAGTATATGTTGTACTAATTCTCGACCAAGGGAAAAGGAAAACATATATAAAGTTAAGGCTTATACATGGATAAATATACTAATTATTGGCCAAGGGAAAAGGAAAACATATATAAAGTTAAGGCTTATAAATGGATAAAGCAAAGAAAAGATAAACAAGCTCAAAAAGGGCTTACTAAGGATAATATACTTTAGGTTGGTTTTTTGGCTCAAGTGGTTAAAATTCCTAATGCCTTTATCATCTTTGTGTATACATGTAATGCGAATGTAATCTCAACAAGACATAAAACAAGTTCTAAAGATACATATCATTGAAAAAATACACAATCAAAGAATATAATGTTGAAGGCTTAAAAGCTTGCATTGGTATAATACTATAAAGTCAATATGGCATATTCTCAAAGTCAATCCTTAAACCAATTAAACCTTAAAACTTGCATGCACACTCCTTCATTCGATTCATATCTCCATCTATCTCAATTAATTCTTATATGTAATACTCACATTCTCATAAACCAATAAGAGTTTAAAAGATCAAACATAGAAAATTTTTTTT